CTCCCTGTGCCATGGGGAGGGGATAAGCAGCCGCCCGCACGCAGCCGTTTCTCACCGGTAACCGCTCTCCCTTCCTAAGCCACCACTGTTCCCTGCCCCGAGCTCCCCGCGGGTTCCTGCTCTGCCGGTGCTGGGGTCTTTGTAACGAAGTGCGATGCGGTGACTGGGGGTCTGGCACCAGGGGCGGCAAACCGTTCTTCCCGCGGCTCCCCAGGCCCTCTGCGCGCCTGCGGAGCCGGGGGCGCGTAGGCTCCGCCAAAGTGCAACGTGCTGGTAGAGATCAGTCTTTCCCAATCGGCTCCTTGCAGACGCCCTTCGGCCTCCTCAGAGTATTCAGCGTTGTGATCCCTTTCCTCTACGTCGGGACTCAGATCAGTAAGAACTTCGCAGCCCTGCTTGAAGAACATGATATCTTTGTCCCAGAGGATGACGACGACGATGACTAAAGGGTATGTCAGTAACATCACCAGCGATCTAATTATTTGTGCTTCCTGTTTGGCTTGGGGCCGGGAGGAGAATCTCGGACACGCAGACAGCAACGGCTTTGAAAGATGCATTTGCAGTTAAACACAGGGACACCAGCAGCTCTATTGCCTCTGGCTACGAACCTTTCAGTTCCTTTCTCCTGGAGTAGGCCAGACTGGTATCTGAGTATGAAATCTCCACAGCCTACATTCGTTAGAGATCGTAATAAACTGATGGCGTTTTAGATCTTGTAATTTGAATTGGAAATAAACTGTAGTGAGTGTCTGCACTGCAGACAGAAAAGAGGGACTTGAGCGTTATTACACGTTTACCTGTTTAAAAGTCTTCTGCTAACTCACAGAATGACTATTTTAAAAGAATGAAATTCTGATATAGAGGTGAACAACCTGAGAGAACTCCAGAACCCATCAGAACAAACTGTCGGTGGGTGTTACAACACTGATCTCTGGAGTAGTTGGAGCATTCAGACTCATCAGATAATGGTGAATTATTTCTGCTCTTCCTTTTTATCTACAGTACACTACACTACACTTCCCTCCATTTCATGTTATTCCGTTTGGCTAGCCCTTGAGTTTGGGTGAATTTGATTCTTTATAGAACAAAGAAGTTGTTGTAAATAGTGTTGTCTTGTAATCAGTTTGGTGTATGTATTCCGTTTGATAAAGAGACTTTCCAGCGTGCACTGTGCAGCTAAAAGCAGAGAATTAAAAGGCTGTGGAGACTGCAGTGGCCTGTTAGAAACTCCTTTTATGTAAACCCCCACCTTGTGTGGTTCGGGGGGAGGGTACAGACTGGAGCTCAGTACAGTGTATCTGAAGAGTAACGGCTTATTATTCTATTTGCAGAACTGTAACGGAAGAACAGAAGGGAGAAAACCATTGACAAAGCAATGGTTCCAACATGTCACCTGTGTTTTGCCCTTCCTAAACGGGACAGGGGCTCTGTATCCCCTTTGCCAGCAAGTGTCCTGCGTGTCTGTGTGACAGAAATCTGTAGATGAGGGTTGAAGGAAGTGCTTGATAGGCCCTGCATCCTTGCGCACACACGCTCACCTCATTAAAGACTGCTTGAGACTCCTTTTATTAGCAATATGGGAAAAACTTTAATTAAAGATCAAGAGATTGAGATACATGACTTTGGTCTGGTGTTTTTATAGATTATGTGCCTATGACCTAGCATTTCTGTATTAACCTTTCTACCTCTGTATATCTGTTCCAGTAAGGAGGCTCTCTTCGTATTTATTTCCTTTTATGAGTCCTTTCTGTAATTCAGTGTTCATCTACAGCACACGACAGGAATCCTAGAGGAAGCAGCAGCCCTGCAACACAGCCCCGTTAAAAGAACAGAGTTCATATTGACACTGGCACTGCACTTCAAATAGCGCTGATTTACAACCCAGCGCTATGCAGGTATGCCTGATGGGGACTGTATCATTAATTTCACCTCACTGAGGAGTAACCACAGCGTTATCATTGCAGAGTTAAAGTGTTGAGTAGGTTTGGTAATATAAAAGGTTAAGATCATGAGTGGCAAACTAACTTGCTGATGTGTTTTATAGCATTAGATCTGTGAACAGTGAAAATCTCTGAACGCTCTGACTCCAAGTACCCAGTATTTCCTAGGTAGGTCAGTACTTCCTTCTGTGTGAGCCCTAATATATTTATTTTCTTAACTGTGTATAAACTTCAACTCTTCTTTTCATAGAAGTATTTACTATTGTAATTAAATCCTTGCATAATAGACTTAAAATATCTTCTCTACTGCTAGGGCATGCATAGAGTATCTTCAGTCGCATCAGACCAGCTGTTTTCTCAAATACCTTGAAAGGTTAAAGTCAAATGACTCTTTTTTTTTTTAAGCCAGCATTGCCCCCGTGTCTTTCTCATGGTTTCTGGTCACTAGATCTGGCCTCTTCCCTTGACTGCCCACTTCTCCCTTCAGTATTCTCGTAGCTGTTACAAAGTTTCTTTTAATGTCACACACATTAGCACAGCGTACAGTTAAAACGGCCACATTTGCTGCCTTATTATTTGGCACTGCTTTTGATGTTTGCTCTGTGACTCTCTGGCGTAGCTACTGAGAGAAAAGGGAGCCTGCAATCTGAGTAACCCCAACAGCTGTAGCTGAAGGCAGCTGGCAGGTTCTTGAGTCACTTGGTATCTGAGTTGCCCCTCCTTCCCCAAGGCCTTCTGAGAAGTGGTTGCTCGGTTCATCTGTTCTTGGGAGCCAAACACATCCCTGCTCCTGTTTCTTATACTGACACGCTCCTTATCACTGCTTTATCCCACCATCTCGCCTGGCCCCTTCCTGGCTGTGTTCCTTCTTCAACTCTGTCCTTAAAAACACGCCCCTAGGTACACATCCCTGCTTTACAGTCCTCATACAGGACGAAGGCCCCAGTATTTAGGCAAGGATAAAGGGAAGTCTGAGCGTACTACAAGGATTCAATGCTGATCACACATGGGGGA